TTTTTTTTTTTTTTTTTTTTTTACTATTTTCAATCTCTTTTTCACAAACCGATGTTTTTCCGTTAATTCTTAAGATTAGTGACTATTATATTGTTATTCGTAAATCTTCATTCACTGTTCGTTCACATTGTTATCGTAAACTTTTTAACTTGGCTTATGCCTTCAAACTTTATAATTCATCTTACGGCGTTTACCTATTTTCGCATTCAATATTGTCAGGTCGGACTATTTTCGGAGTCTGAAGCTCACAAAAATTTCACTATTCATCATTTTTTTTTACGGCAATATACGCAATAGATTTACAATAGACGAGAATAGAATATAATGAACTCCTCTGGATACTACAATCGACGGATTTTTCCTTATTTAATGTGAAATTTTTTTTTTCCCAAGTCCCTCCATTACGTGCCATTCACCTCGAACATGAGGGTGAATAAAATAATCTCAGGACAATTGAACCAAGTATTGTATCATTGCGAATTAAAAATATATTTTTCGCGATTATAATTGTGAAGAACATGAAATTCGATATGTTGCATAATTACTTAAGAATAATCAATACGGTCATGTTCTGCTATGCCATTGCAGAATATAAGGGGGATCTATTGTTGCAGTCAATCAACCTACACGTTTTTTTTTTTTGTTCTTCTTTCTCATAATGTTATCGCTCTAACTTCTATGCACATGTCCATCAAGTTAAAAAAAAATACATTCCACATATATTTAACAAACAAACAAATTTATAAAGAACATATGTGCTAAACTTAAATAAAAAGAAAATTCAAAAATAAAATCCATAACAGATAGACCCTCCATATTTCTGTACAAAAATTATACTTTACTTCTATCTAAGTTTCTATTCGCTCGTCCTACGAAAAAAAGATTGTATATACGTTCAAAGAAATTAAATCGTCAAGATGGAATCGCCAGTGCCAGTCCCACACGAATGGCGGACAGTCATAATTTATGGCACAATAAATAGTTCTTTCATTATTACATTATTATGCTAATCATCTTTCATGTACAATACAAGAACCGCATATTTTGTTTCGTTTGAAATTGGACTGACATATTCCATTAGGAAATGAGAACCATACTAAAAATGGAAAGAAAAATAAAAAAAAGAAAGAGAACGATTATCATCCGAAGAAAAAAGGGTTCATATACTGTTTACAAAATTGAAAACTGAATTATCTAACTTATAAACGCGTTAAACATTAGTCCGCGTCGTTAAAATTTGCAACAATATATACTAAGAGACATTTATAAATAAATCGTTAACACTCTTTCCAGGGTCTATTTTCTTGATTACGAGGAATGCAGACTATAGACTATTGGATTAGAATGAATTAGGCCTAGAATACATTCAAATAAGTTATTCAACTAAAGTAAAAGCAACTTCAAATACAGTTGAGAACTTCTGTTGTTTTGGTACTTCCACATTCCAAATCGTTTTCTGCTTTCCTCTTACAATGTTGAAATAATTACAAAATTTTAAATATATATATATATTACAAAGAATAAGTATGTATTGCGCGCAGGAAAGAAAAATAGCAATTCAATCAAAAATTTTACCAATACATGGCCATTTTTAATGTCCAGACACTTCACATCAGTTACCAAAATCATGTTGTTCATTCAAGAAACAAAGTTTTACTTTTTGGTACTGTTTGGTACGGTCTACATTCTCTCTCTCCCTTCTCAAATTCTTAAAAGTTTCTAATCTTACACCGATACACACTTCACAAAACTCGCTTCATGATATTCAAATCAACGAGGCATTATATAAATTAAATATTCGATGGTACCTACATTGTAAAGGAAAAACATCCTCGCACGACATCAATTACATCCAGATCGATCTTAAGGCTGATTTGGTATTTTCTTTCACTAATCAGAACCAACTTATATATTTACAAATCCACATTATTATTATTCTTTTTACTTTTTTCGTTTTGTCCGTGAGCTGGCTTTTCTCAACATTTTTCAACGAACGAATTACATTATCTACGTACGCTGTTTACAACTGTCAACAGCTGCAAGATCTCATGGTCAATGAAGAATTATCAATTCGCTTTTGTCAATGTTGTACGAAACAATGTTGAACTTCAAAATCACTTCGTAAAAATATAACGCACTATTCTATAAATGAAATTTTCACGCAAAGCAAGAGCATTTTGTGATTCTTTCCTTTAATATTTTCTTTTGGTTTTGTTAAATAGAAATTAATCAAATATAAAAATCACACTAGAGAATACGAATCACTTTACAGATTCTGTAAAAAAACATATTCAAATTAATGATCCTCTATTCGCATTTAATAATCCATAGAAGATAATGATCCATAATGATGCTACAATAATAATATAATAATAATAATATAATATAATAATAATAATAATAAAGAGTAGTTTTAATTTACGCGTAACGGGGAAACATGTGCGAATTACTTTATGAGATACAAAGATGAAACGTTCATTTTGTGATATTTATGAAAGCCCTGCCTCTCTCTTAGTAAAAAAAAAAAAAAAAAAAAAAAAAGAAAGAAAGAAAGAAACGATTTTATAAAAAAAATTAATTAATACCTTTTACAATCAGTCATGACTTTCATTTACAACATAGCAGCTTATATGATTACAAGGCGTTACAAGTCAAAAATTAGTCCGCAAAGATATTAGATACTGACAACAAACCATTCCTATTAATTAGATATTGATAAACTTACAACATAGTGATTGATGCCAACATTATCTTAAAAAGAAAACAAAACAGAAGAAAAATACAAAAAGAGGAGATACAACAAATTACAAAAAAAAAAAAGGAAACATACGTGGTAACATCACGCCATTCAATGGTGGTATGCAATCGTAAAAAACGTTGAAAATGATTGCACATCCGTATCTATGAGTCAGCATCAATCACTTGTTCTTATAAAATTGACTAAAAACGCAACGTTTGCATTAATTTAATATGGGCCTGTATTAAAATAGTAACTATGAACAACAGAGGGCATAGTAGCATAAAATGTGACACTTGTGTAAAACTATATGACGAGAGGCATGTCTTTCTTGTTCGGTAAATTCACCTTTTTACCTTGCCAAAGGCTGTTGTGTATCGTAAAGGCATCTATGGTCACAGTCAGATGCTTTGTATGTACTTGAGAAAAGCATTTTGCTCCTGAATTGTATCTACAAACAAAGAATTATGAACATATTATATGTGTATCTATATTAATTTCTCACAAAATTAAAATCACATAATTTTAACAACTCACAAAATTAAAATTATATAATCTAAAATATTCAGTATAAAATAAGTATATATGCAAGTATATTATAAATGAGAATAGAATGATTTTGTGTCAAAACATAGTAAAAAATATAGAATAATATTTTTTGCAGCTAAAATGTAATTTGTCGATTGCTGTTATATATATATTTATTTAGAACGTATGTATAACTTTTGTAAATTTTTAAATTCATAATAATATAAAAACAATTTCATCGATTAAGGACTTATTGGTGTGTTTATTAATATATATTGTTTTAAACTGTATTGTTCTTTTTCAAATCCTTACCAATCCTTACCAATATTTGCAGCCATATATCATTTAAAATTATTTCCTTATCTTATTAACTATTCATACATAAAGCTATGTTATATACATCAAATTATAATACACAAATATAGAAAAATTATCAAATTTATAAGTCATAAAATAAATTAATATTAAATCGTCATAAAATCGTTATAGTCGTAAAAACTATAATTCTAGACTCTATTTTACTGTTTATTGAAACGATTTAAAATAATTTATATTTAATAATTAATAATATAACGCGTTGGAAAAGACAATTTCCTTGTTATACATATTTTCATATATTCATTTTCATATGTTCTTGCTTAATGATATGATATTACATACAAAATCATCAGAAGTATATCAATAACAAGAACAAATCTGTGATGATAAACTTACTTGAAAAATTTGTCGAACATTTTATCAATAACTTGTTTCGGTCCAGTACCATATAACTTCGAAACTTCTTCTCTATCTGGGCAGTATGAGTAAAGAGCCCTAAATTGGCAACCAGCATCTCGAAATAAAATAAGAAAATGTTTGCTTTCAGATCTTGCAATTTCATCCAGAACTCTTCTCTTCGCTTCTTTATTTACTGTACCAGGAAATACACAATATTCTACAGCATTTAACATAATACCGCGATTTGACTTGGTGGTTGGTTGTTTATACAATCTTGGACCTATTAACAAAAAGAGAGTAATCTATAAAATTCATGCAATTTACTTCATCAGTAAGAGTAATTGCTTGGTAAACAAGTTTTCATGTGGAGCTTACTTAACTATATTTGAAAAAGATCATTTTTTATAAGATAGTAATAAATTTTAATTTTTAATAAGTATGTTAAATTAATGGAATTATATTATACTTTCTAACATGCCATTTCTTCACAAATTTTAACTTATCTTGCATTAGGTTTAATACCTGAACAGTGAACAAATAAATTAAATTGTGTAACTAAATTTCCTCACCATTATAATCCATCATTGAACTTGGTGTACTACTGATATCGCTGCTGCCATCATCGAACACTCGCCTCTTGGTCATCAAACCGGGAGGTAAAGAACCAGGTCCAGATGGCGACGGAAGATGCCTCATGCTTCCCATACCAGGACTTGGTGCCCTCCTTGGAGGTGTAGCTCTGCCCAGCCCGCTGTCCGTATCTGTGTATCGACACATCATACCGTCTTGATCACTACTCGAACCTGTGAACGCAAGCTTAGTATATGAAGATAGAAATTTAAAAAAAAAAGGACTTGAATGTCTCTGTCCATGAAATTAAGGGCAAGAGATACGGCTTTTCAACAGCCAGTCCAATATATAAAACGTATGTACCCATCCAAGCAAGAGAAATTTTAACAGAGTTAATTTTATTAATTACTAAAATGGTTAGTTCCTGATATAAACCGTGAGATATTAGTCACTTGTTAGACTTACGAAGGACCTTTAAGAATATCCATCTTCATAGCTTGCGTCCAATATAAAAATTTCAAGAAATATTTGATATATTGTAAATATATCATATAAAACATCAAGAAACTGTTTCTTTTTTATTTTTTTAAATTCTATGTATCTATATATATAATTTGTTCACATAAAAAAAGTTTTCATGATTCTAAAATAATCTAAGAAACTATTTATCAGGAATTTCAATAAAAATGACAATTTGTCTCAGTTACTATTTTATCTAATAGTACCACGGGACAAAAAACAGTGAACATATTCACTTGTAATAAAATATGATTGCTAGTAGTAATTTTATGATTTTAGGCCGACAAATGAAGCATAACAAATTCATCTAACGATAGTATAATCTACTAAACGCATTGATAAATGTATCAACTCATGCAGTACTTATGAGTTCTATTAAAAAGTATGATGCTCATCGCTAAGATGAATTTACTATGCTGTATTACCATAATACCTGGAAATAAAAATAGAAAGGAACAACAGAACAAATATACATATATTTAACATAAGTGATAGGATAACCATATGATACAGGACCTAAATGTGAGTCAGAGTGAAAGGTTGTTAAGTGGAATCTGGAACCACCAACAATATAATCTGAAAAACATTGAAAATATCGGTACCCATAACCAGTGCTGTACAACAATAAGCCCAACAAGCATCAACTTAATTTTATCTACTACAGCAAATGAGTTATCCTGTGAATGAGAATCAAAATTCTATCTGCTTAAAGAGAAATATTTCTCTAGAGAGATAAAAAGTAAAGGCAATCTAAAAAAAAGAAAAAATTAAAAAAAACATTCATGTGTCATTTATTTCTCAAGTAATGAAATATAAATTTAGCAGATAGAATTTTTAACACATACAAACAATGTGCTGTTGGTGTATGCGTGTACATATATCACTGCCACCTGTGCTCCAATCTGTCACCATGCGACTACGTGTATGCTATATAGCCTACAAAAAATTGGAACAGTGTACGGGACACGTAAAATATATATTGTTGCACGATAAAAGGGGATTAAACGTATTCCAAGTCACTGGTGCTTCTTACCACACAAATTCATCAAGGAATTAGACTTTCTCCCCTTAAAGTTTTGGTAACTCGGGTATTTAGGCCTGCCTCTAACCTGTTGCTGAGGCTCCTGCACATCTGCAATAATGCAATGTTTACCTTGTTACATTCCAAACGCTATGTACGATCAAAGATTAATAGTAGGGGATGCTTCAATCGTACGTCATTGCATCAGGGGCAGAGTCTAACTACGAGCCATGTCCACTAGGAACATCAAAAACTCAAGGTAGCCAGTGCAGGTTGGTGCAGAACAACGTTGCGTTCCAACTGAAAGATGTCTACTATAAGGCGCTACTTAAAAATAAAGTCATACCCTTAAGTAACCTTGCTTAGATAATTTGGGGAATAATCAAACGCTAATGAAATATTCAACATTGTAAGATTCATACGTAGCTGCCCATACCAGTGATACATCCTGCAACGAATCTACTTTCATCAAGCCAAACGTTTAAAAGGAACATGATTTAAGGCATTCTTTGTATAAATAATATTTAACCCACCTCTAGATGTTTTGTAGGAACCACGTCGACCAAGTTGATTCATACTTCGACAAGGGGAGGAACCTCTACCGTCATCAGGTGAATCTACGGAAGATACTAAAATAGGGTACCTCTATTACAATCAGTTAATTCCTCTCCAGGATGATACTAGATATTATATATGTTTTAATGAATATAGTTTACTACAACATTTACACGCTAATAAACAGATAGATTTCAAATAAATTTGAAACATGCAAAATTAAAATATAAAAAGAAAAGTGCTATAATATATATCATTCACACGTTAAAAACGAATAATTAAAAAAAAAAGTATCAAGTATAATGTATCGTCAAGTATTTCTCAATCTGGTTTATACAATAATTTGGTATAATATATTGCACGTTTCTTGTGCTATATACGAGGCAAGTGTATATATTGTTATAACCGATTAATTTAGAAACATTTCTATAAATTTTGACATTAAATATTAGAAGCAGCAAGTATAAGCAAAACACTACAATCAGCATGTTAATAATGAAAAACATTTAATATTGTAATAATTTATTATTTGTTTAGCTTTTCGTATGCAAAACTAACAAATATATATATGATGTTCTGATATATATATATATGAGAGTCAGAGATTGTGTGTTGTGCATACCCCTGAGACTGCCGCCCCGATAAAGAGGGCCGGAACGTCGTTCATCGAAATGAGCAGCAGTGAGACTGTCCTGCGAGCCTCGGTAGTAGTCTCGCCTCATCGTCGGGGAAGTCAGCGACGCTACAGTAAGTGTGTTAGTGCAAAACAATCTGCTCGAATTTTCTTTACTATTCTAGTTCTTTTCAAATAGGAGTCTAGGAAATGTATGAGATCAGTTTACTGTACAATGCTTTCTCGTCTTGAATGATTAAACTGATAAACTAGTATAGCCGAGAAAATTTAGAGCTTATGGAATTGTGACTGAGTGAGATTTTTATAAAATAAAAGAGAACAATAACAACAAAAAATCAGTATGGAAAAGATGGCGTTACTAAAGAAAAAATTAAATTTCTCTGACTTAAATTTTCGCCATGCAAAAAATAAATGCAATTACATTACAACACTGAGAAACTGTCACTATTAGGAGATTATAATAAAGGAATGTACTTGTTACAATAGCGGTAGTAATTGTTATCTTGGAGATGACTTGATACATAATATTGTACAATACATCAAAATATATTGGAGATGATAAATAACCATCATTTTAACAATGTGTATATTATTTATACTTTCTCTCCAAGAAACACTGATCATTGCAATGAATAGTTGTATCATTACATCAACTGCATTATCATACCTGTACTTAAATTAGAAGAAGAACCCTTCTTCCCACGACTTGGTGTAAGAGCTCCAGAATCCAACTCCGTACCAGCATCCACGTGAATTGTTTTGGGCCGTGGTCGAGTTGCAGTCTTGTTACGCAATTTTGTTGGTTTTATTGCATTAAGAAGTTCTTTATCGATAACCTTACCCTAAATAACAATAATAATTTTTAACGATCAATTCAATTAAAATATTGTTAGATACAATAGAACTTCGATTATCGGCACACCTATTATCCGAACTTTCTTTCATAGAAATATTCTAGTATCCATAGAACATTTTGTATTTTTTATGTATATAATTCATAACATATATTTATTTAAATCAAATTTACTTGATTAAAACAAGATTTCTTCATAATAATTTAGTGTTATTAGAATGGATAGGATTATTAATTAAGAAGTTGAAAAATAATGTGCAACAAATGTAGTCCAAAAATAGGCCATTAGAATCAATGGTATAAAAAATAAAGAATAATCAATTGATTTATTATCTATATAATGATGACAACAAAGATAGTCTTATTCTGAAAAATTTTCTTATTCTCAAAAAAGAAATTTCTCAAACGATGAGAAGCACAAAAAAATAACTTCAAGCAATTACTTATGTTGAAAGCGGCTAAAAAATTATGGGATCCTCAATATTTTACGTCCAAAATATATGAAATTTAATATAGAGAAAGTGTTCTATTATCTGAAAATTCTATTATCCAAACACATTTGTCTCACGATTAATTCCGATAGTCGAGATTCTACTGTAATAAAACATTCACCTCTCTCTCTGCCTCTTCTATCGCTTTCTTTACTTTATGTTGTTCTAAAATAGCTGCTCTTCGTTGCCTTTCCTCTTCTTTTTTACGAGCTCTTTCTTCTGCTTTTAATTTTTCTTGTTCTCGACGAACTTGTGCCTCTGCCTCTTTTCTTTCTTTCATCTCTTCTTGTTGCTGCCTTCTTTGCAGCGATAAAAGCATTATACGTTCTTTCTTTCGTTCCATTTCATCAAGAGAATTCTACAACAATACTTTAATGAAGTAGAGAAAAAAAATAAACAATACTTTAATGAAGTTAAAAAAAAAAACAAATTGTGCAGCGATAAAATTCATGCGATATTTATCGTATAACTTACTGGATCAGGATTTGCTAATTGATTTCCAATTATTAAACCTACTCCAGACTGTCGACCTTCTCCACTTATCTCGTGTCGTTGTTTTTCTCTTTCTCCTTCTCTCTGTATTTCTTTATTTCTAATTTCCTGCCGTTGGAAGTCTCTCTCATCTATTTGACGTTGTTTTTCTCGATCAGATTCTCGCTGAATTTCTAGCTGTTTTTGTCTATCCATAATGGTAGCAGGAGAGTCAGGACGCATCGTAAAATCTTCATTTTCAATATACGATGACGTGCTTCTTTCCTAAAAAAAAAATTTATTTCTAATATGTTCGAAATTGATTATATACTATGTGTATATATGTTTTGTATACGGATTTTCAAATTTTATATTCACCTTTTTGGGAGATGTTCTTTTCACTCTTAAAGTTGGTTTTGGTTTTTTTGGTGCGTCATTGTCAAAACAAATATAGAATCCTTTTTCACCAGCATCCATTGGATCTAGAGGTGTTACCTCTGGTGTACCTGATGGAGATGGTGTGGCTTCTCTTAATGATGGATGAGGTTGAAATGAATTACGTGAAATTGAAGGTCTAGTTGGTGATGGAATTCTATATGTACGGCTGCCGGACGTGATGTTTAAACCTCTTATACCTTGAGTAAGTTCATCATCATTTCCTTTAAAACATATGAATGAATGAACAAAAAGAAAATGAAAACAAAAACATAAATGTAATGAAATGTAATTCCTTAAAAATATTATGTATGACACGTTCTTAGATGGATAGAAAAGAAAGACACTTACCAATAAATGATATATTCTGAGGCTTCATGTCATCAACAGGTGGTGCTGGAACAGGTGCATGCAATGCAGTAATTTGTCTTTTTTCGGTAGGGCTTTCACACTTAATTGGTATATGATGTACAGTTGGCCTTTTTGGTTCGGGACTTTCACTCATTAACTGACTTATTCGATGAACCTATTACAAAATTAAGAATGAAAAATTTTATAACAATATCAATATATGACAACGTCACAAATAATCATAGCACAATATAAATTGTACTATGAAACTGATATAAATAGACAAACCTCATAATGGTAACTGTACGAATTAGTAAAACGAGATGAAAGAAAAAACTGCATTTTTGAAAAAGGCAGATAATTCAAGAGCAACAGTTCTTAAACGTTGAAACTTCAATTCAAGCGACTGCTATACTGAATGTGAAGAGAGTATCTATAAATGTGCATTACATCACTAACTGGTTCCATAACAGGTGCTTGCTTATACATATATATACATATATATTATATATGTACGTATGTGTGTGTGTGTGTGTGTGTATATATATGTATGTATAAGCAATTTGTTTACTATCTAATTGACTAAAAGAGTAATGAATAATATATTATCTTAAAAATAAAATATGATATTTCTATTGTTTTAAATTAATATTATGAAAATGTATATATATAATGGTTTCTTATTTTTATTTTGTATATGCATAAAATATAAATTTTATTTAAAATATATAAATTAAAACAAAACTTGGTAAAAATTTAAGATATGTTTTAATATTTTACAGATAAAATAGAAGTTTAAGTAATAGATAAATAAAAATGAATGTACAAATTTTTGCTTATTAATTATTTTAAAAAATCAAGTAAAATAGCTAAAGATCATTATACTTACAGCATTACGATGTTGTGGACTAGCAGAAGATGGTGGTGTTTGATTAAAGATAGATGTAGATGATGGATATGTAGAACCAGGATGACTCATTTGATTATTACAAAGACTATGATCTCCCCCATTGAGGTATCTCGGTTCCTGTGGAGTATCATGTAAAACAAATCCTTTCTGTTGAGGTGGATGTGTTCCCCAATTCCGTGTATCTTGATATAAACGCATATCTTGTTGATAAGCTATACGAAGTTTTAAAAGATTTTTGTTAAAAATTACATCAGTCAATTATATTCTGTTATAATAGACATACGTGTTGATTGAGTACTATATCGTGGATCTATTGATTGTTGATAGCTCACAGCAGCCATTTCATTCGCTAAGCTTTGTGTTGGAGGTGGTTGACCCCACATTCGTCTTTGCAGTTGGGGTTGATCATGTAAATAGAACTGTGATTGTTGAGTATCTTGTAATTTTGATGTCAATGGATTCATAGGTGTCATTCCAAAATTCTAAACAAAGAAAAAATACATTGCTATAAAACAAATAAATTAACATAATAAAAACTGAAAAATAGTACATACTTGCATATGTTGTTGACTAAGACTTTGTAACTGCTGAAGTTGTTGTTGCATTTGTTGTTGGTGTTGTGTCATTAGATGCTGCTGCTGTATTTGATTTTGCTGATTAGCTAAACGTTGTATATCAGCTTGTATTTCACTAAGACTGTTATTCATTCTGTGGAAAGATGTATACATATCTTTCTCAATGAATTTCAGAGAATTAATGTATATTATAGATAAAGAAATGAATACTGACTGTGATATAGACTGATGATATTGTTCAAGATCCATATTTTCAATGTCTGGAGTGCGTCTTGTTTCAATAAATGGTGCATTACCATCATGCTCCAACCACTTGTGTTCAACATCCCGAACATCTTCACTGATTTCCTATAGTCATTGATATAAATATTGAACAATTATTTGAAAGATATAAAAAAAGTATTCTCTGATAATATTATTATATTGCGTACCTACAGGTACATTAATTACTTTATGGTTGATCCAAAATGTAATAGTAAAGTAAGATCATAACATAATACATATCTTTTGATGTATGTATAAATATTTCTACATATCAAGAATTGATATTGAATATAGATAAAATCAAAATAATGATTTTTAAGAAAAGAGAGAGATAGAAAGAAAAGAGATAGAAGAGAAAAAAAAAGAGAGTGGAAACAAAAAGGAAAAACAATAGAAGAGGTGAAAGAATTCATATAATTGGAAATGAAATTCCAAAAAAATAAGTATAGCAGGAGATATAGAAAACAGGATACAAAAAATAGACGTAACGTTAAATCAGTAGGTGAGAGAAAATTCAAAGTAGATTTCAAAATAAGAATGTTTCAGTTAGACTCATTGATATTAGGAGTATTGTCATATGGGTTAGAGCCGACGTGGAAAGAGTGCAATTAAGATACAAGAAATAATTGAAATTAGATATATGTACTTTGAATTATCGTTGGAAATGGTGTTAAATGAAATAAAGAGATATAGGAATAAAAGCATGGAAATTTAAAGAAAAATTAACACAATACAGGAAGGAAGATAGCTAGAGAATGCTTGAAGGAAAAGGAAACAAAAAGAGTACAAACCAGGAGTGGAAAAGGAAGGGAAGAAAGTGAGGAAAGAAGTGGATTGAGTCAAACAGAAATGGAAAAAAAGGAAGGTGATAATAAAATATATAAAAAGAAAGGATAAAAAAGAAATATAACACAAAAATAGAAAACAGAAAAGTTCAAATACAGTACGTTAAAGTAATAGTTATTAAAATATTTAAATAAGGAAGGTAAAAATGAGAGCCAAAAACTGGTTATCCAAGTAAGATGCAAAAATTTAGAATCATGATAAGTACTGAGAAAAAGAGAAAAATAGGAGATGTGATTTGTGCGGAGATAAGTTTGAAAATTTCGAATACCTAATAAGGAAATATAAAAAGATAGAAAAGAATATCAGATTGGAAGATATGGTAAGCGGGAGAAAAAATAAAGAAGCGGAAATTTGACTTTGAGAAGTTAAAAAAGAAAAGAAAAGGATAAAATAGATCAGAACAACAAAGTAAATAAAATAAAATAGAAAGATAGAATTGTGAATGAGAGAAAAAAAGTGATTAAATTGAATGAGTAAAATAGCTTTATCAAAATAGAATATTGTAAATCAAATTCAATTCTTAGCCAATATTGACCAATATCGAGACCAATATTGAAATAAATCAATTTTCAGTTATTTTTATAATAAATAAATAATGTACTTACAGGTACATAAATAAATGGGAACTTAATATGTATGAAAAATAATATAATATTATTGATGATCGTTTAAGTTGAAAATCATTAACGACCTAAAACTTAGCGCCAATTTGTAAATCTTATTTTTCTATAGTTATTCAATTTTAAGTGCTGAAATTGCCTTTCAATTTTTCCTTCAGTATGTAAAATTATAATAAATACAGTTCAGAATGTCTACAATTAACTATGCAGATAAAAGATATATATATATATAACAATAAATCAGTCCAGTATTCGTATGTATATGTATTCCAATAAGTTGGTTTTGTTAATGTTTTTGTGCTAGAATAGATTTAGAACACAAATGTAAAGAACCACCACCACAAACAGTAATTTTAAATCAAACGCATCTCTATAGATTCTTATCCAGGGAGTGTTTAGTACTGTACCATGCGTTCCGAGAGCGATATTTTACAAGATTGCATTGAAACGTGGGAATAGAGTAGCAAACTTGATCAAAGACCACAGAATGCATTGGGGCTGTTTCGTTTTCCTCTATGACTAAATGTAAGCAATAAGAAGCAGAATAATCATTTGTTGTTAAAAAAAGACTCAATTGAAATTATTTTTTGATAAAAAAAAAATTGTAGAAAGCACATTTTCAATCTTACTTGCAGCATACTAAGGCAATTATTATTGTTACGTATTTCATATATTAAGAATTATAAAAATAAATGTTCAAAATATTTTTAATGATATTCTCAAAAGCAAAGGTACAAAAGAAGTTAACGAATGTCTAGAAGCCATACATAAGCCATGTATGTAAATTGCTAGACAAATCAGCAAATATTTTTTTGTTTCAAATGTTCATCTACAAGAACATTATTATATCGTACCTTGAGCGAGTAGGGTCTCTGTGGTTTTTCTTGAGAGGGTTGTTGGGTTACAGGGGTCGTCTCGGAAACACTTGTCGGGGTCTCCCCCGAAGATCCGGAGGTTACAGGAGTGGGGGGACCGATTTCAGCCGGACTGTCCCCCCCAGACGTTGATGAAGAGGGAGATTTAACCTTACCCTGCAACCAGCCCAAGCACCGTGCCTTGTTAAGTACTTGGAGTCCGTATATGCCGAGTCCAATATGTCAACCACCACACCATGGTCGGACTTCTCCACAGCCAAGTATACGTTACATTCAAGCACTAAATGCCAAAGCCAATTCAAAGACTTGCAAATACTTCATTGCCAATGACTTTTTCACTATTGCACCAGTGATTTGATAATCTTTTCCAAAGAAATACGATAGAACGTCCATAGTACATAATATTTTTTAACTAAGATGGAAGTCTATTTCATTATTTGAAAACCTTGGAAAGGGAATATAGCATTTTTACTATTATCTCTTGTAATCCTGAATAAATCATATTTTACTAGAAACTATAATTATTATAATTTTGTTTCATCTAAATTCAAGTCATCTAATTTTTTATATTTATTATCAATAGATAAGAAATAAACTTGAATATAACTTTCTCAGTTAACAATTGCTAATGTAAAGCATGCATACCATCACCAGATTAATTCGAATTGTTAATTGTTCATTATTCTTTACATTACTTGTTTAGAAATATTTTTATATAAATACATATAAAGCGGAAAGAGAAGAATTGTATCTAAGAAAATGATCTATTTTATTATACAAGATGTGTAGTCTATGTTTAATCTTATAATTCTGCAACAATAAAACTTCATGTCATATCAGCATGCACTTACCACCAAGTACAACTGAAAGATAAGAAAGAAAAACGTATTACAATAGTATAGCTGGCAATAAAGATTATCTGCATTAACGATGATAGGCATCAAAATTATGTCGCATTTGCAACTACACACAAGATTCATTACTCCAAAAGCTAATAATACAGGATGGCCCAAAAGTTTCTTCTCACCTCTTTTTTTTTTTTAATAAAACATCAAAATACAAGAAAAAAAAAACAATTTTATTAATTTTAAATTAAATTTAAGTTCAAATGTTTTAAAAATTATTTCTTTCAAATGTTATTCGCCAAAGCATTCGTAAATTGAAAAATAATTAAAAAATTTATTTATTTTAGTAGGAAGTGATTTTTGGCTCACCCTGTATAATAGAAATATAAATATCACGAAATTAACGAAATATGGAAAAATATGCGGCATTTACCTGAAATAAAACATTATTATGCAAACTCACTTGCAATACTACTTCACAATAATTGGATATAATAATACATCTATAGATATAAAATCAAATGAAATGACATAAGCAATAAAATATCGAATTGCTTGTGAACTTGAAAATATTTTCTTCTGCAGAAGAAAAAGAAACTGTTCGACGTTCGATACAATATAATTATGCATTGCTCTATACTAAACACCCGTGGCTAAATTTCAAATACCTCATGGCTATATTCAATGTTCTGTTTCATTTCAATTTAAGTTTTTTCCCTACTTTTGTACGAGAACAAAATTCTTCGTTATACTGTAATTAAAAATGAGAAAAAGAATTACATATATACGCATCTTGTAACAATATTTATTTGCATATTTTGTTAATGATGTATTTCTTTAATGAAGGAAACAAATCATTAAAGAGGCCATGAAAGTGATCTGGCTGGAACAACCCGTTTTATGAAATTTTAGAAAATCAAAAACGTGAAGTTTTACGATCATTTCTCTCGAGTGTAATCATATATTATGTTACCTTCGTGACAGCTTGTAGGAACGCGGCTTTGCCCACTTTCTGCCGCTGTTTCGACATCACAACTTCCATCCTCCTCTTCTCATTCTCTATATGACGACGTTTCTCCTCCAACTTTAATCTAATATTATTCAGCTGGGAAGCCATAATTGTGTTACCTCCGTTTTCGTCTGTTAGCATTATCATGATCACATTTATTTATGTCAGAAGAATCCGTCAATATTACACATTTCCTTAAAGTAACAAATATACACACCGACAGAATGTTGCTCCACCTGTTGAGACTGCTGATTGCTCTGTTGCTGCCATGTCGTTGTATTCGGTAAGGTAGCAAACGTTGTTTTCTTCTCGCCATTCCTGTTCCCGTTGCTTTGGCCAAATTTCTTATTTGACAAATTCGACTTACTGTCGTCACGTTCTTGTTCTGTATAGGTCACGTTGATCCCTTTCTCAGAGCTTTGCCTGCTTAGGTTCGCAAAGCTAGCTAACTTGGATGTATCCCCATCCGAATTAACGTTCTCACTGGAATGTAAAACTTGCTTGAGCGTGACATTGTCCAAGCTGGAATTCGAGGCCTGCCTTCTCAATCTTGGCGGCCCTTCCTTATCGTATCCGTTATCGGACAAAATGTGTTGTACTCCGCTGCCATACACGTCCTGAACGCTAGATCTTGCTGGTAGCGTTGGTTCTGTGGTGCTTCGTTTACCAATATGTGCTCCAACTTCTTTATCTGGATTTCTGCCGAAGTTGTGTAAATTATCCTAGTAGAATCGTGGAAAAAAAGAAACGTCGTCATTCTCTTTTACTTATCCTCTGTCTGAGTATCAATATACGTTCTATAATATCTTCCTTTTAAGGTTATATTTTAAGGTATTATAGAAGTATTCATTATATCAGTATTATGGAACGAATTGATATTAACTGTGGATCACTCACCTGAGATCCACCAAAGTTCTCGATGGTCAGCTGAGAATCATCCGAAACGCTATTACGCCTAGATCGTCGGCCAGCGTACGAGCTTCTTCTCTGTTCTTCCCAGTTGCTCGGCCGACCAGCGGCGTCTGCTCTAGTTACAGACTTCTCATCTGCCACCGAGCTTAACGTAGGGATACCTTTGCCACGATGGACTACGAAACTTTCTTCGCTCCCTGCTCGTCTGCGAAATAATTATAATGATTATAAATCAGACATATGACGAGGAATAATAAATTATAATAGAACTGGCCTTTCTACGAACGAATTCTATGAATTGGAATTCAATTCATTGGCTAATCGAACTCCCAATCGAACGTGAATAAGAAATTGTAGATAGTGAACTTTTATTGTATCGAATCGATTTCAATTTGTTTCTTACATGAATAAATCTATTGTACATCTTCTTTTTAAGAACAATTGTTTTAGATGCTGCTTATTCTACTGTATTTTTGAGAAATTTATCCTTCCTTTTTAAAACATAATATCAGAAACATTCGATTAATCGAACGAGTCGAATTAGTGGAAGAAAAGCACACAATTGAGGCACATTTGCAATCTTTAAATTACTCTATCTACTTGAGTTCACAGAAAATTTTTTTCAATTCTCAAAATCCACTCCTGACTGACTGTACCCTCTACTGACTTGATTTGCTCAACAAAATACAATATTGTGACAAGTTGTACCTAGAAAATACAGATACAACTTTCCTTTTAAATAAAATCGTACATTTTTTTATATACTAATCGTAGTTCGATATTCTCCATAAAAAAAAAAGTACTAACCTGTGTATGTCGAAAAATTATTAATTTAACAGATATTTTAATTCGAATTTTTTTTAAAAATTTATAAAATTTATCGTGCAAAAGACCAGGAAGAACAAGAACAGTTTTTTCTTTGTATTCATATTGTTCTCGTTTTTCATGCAGAATAAAATTGAAGTTGAAATATTTCCTAAACTAATAATTTTTCAACGTACATTGGTTGGTACTTTTTTTTTATTGGAATTGTTGAACTTTATCGATTAATATGTAGAGAAATATGATTATTTAATTACAAAAAAAAAAAATTGCATCTACATTTTCTAGGTGCAGCCTGCAGGAAAGTAGATCATATCGTACCAAACAACTTTCTTTTTTTTTATCTCTTATCAGTTTTAAGATATAACTTGTCACGAAAATCACTCTGTATACATACATATATAGATGTAAATAACTATGTATAAATCTTCAAAATTAATCTCTTAGCGATAACCTCTCATGTAATAACCTCTTAGCGATAACCTCTATATGTCATTATAAACTGTTACTTACTTCTACTGTTACACTTCGTCATTGTCTATTGTCATTCCATCATCTATTGTCGTTTCTTCACATTCCGTCGTTATTTATAGATCGTATGGACTTAGATTTCTTTTTATATTACTTCTTTTTTGACTAATACTAATGAACATTTAGATATGAAGGATAAACATCTAGATATCAAGATAAGTTGATCGATTTTGTGTGTAATTGTAATGTCAATAAATTTAGCAAATGAAAAAAAAATACAATAAATAAAATAGTTTTACCAAATTGTACCATGTATTATATATTTACAACAAGTCAGGCAATTTTTGTAAATAAAAATAAATCTTGATCTTGAAATATAATATAAGAAGAAATTTAAATTCCATACTGTGCATAGAAGACGACATATGAAAAAATGATGATCTATATGATCTATAGAGGAAATGTAAGAATGTAATAATCTACACAACTCATAAAGGTTGTTCTGTTGTTTGTAATTATTTCAAAAATATGAAAATTCAAACACTTAGTTGGTCTCTAGATAGACATACGTAGGAAATATGAAGATCAGTATTATTTTTTCAAGTATAATTTTTTTTGCAACACTTGACATAGCAAGTAGTTCACTATAGAAAAGTATTTCTAATACACTAACATAATAGAAACAGATCATTTACTGAACAGTTCACAGTTGTGAAACTAATATCTCCAATAACCAAATAGTGGAATCAGAGTAGAGTAAAACGTATTTATCATAGTCAATACACACCATAAGCATTATTTGAAGTCAAAATACCTCCTAAACTAATGAGTTTTAGACGTAGATAGATACATATATATAGAGAGAATGACCTACTGCATCAATTAATACAAAAAAAAAAATTACATAATTATATTTTAAAAAATAGTAGTAATCTTCATATTTCCTACACGTGTCTAGAAATAAACGAAATTATTGCCCTCTTAAAACAGAAAAAAATGCATTTAAGACATCTTTTGATAGGTTCAGAGATAATTGTATTTATAGATTAAAATAGGATACGCTGTATGTGCAAGAAAAAGTTATTTGAAATGTTGATTTCTGTGATATACTCAAAAATCATCAGAGAAGAATAATCTCCAGAGCTTTTCTACAACTTTACTATTAATTTAAAATCTAGCTAACAAAATTTAAAATCTTTTCTTTTTGCTTTATGTAAGATATCAAAAAATTAATTCAAAGCGCTATTATTCTTTTAGTTAGAAATACATCCTAATCAAATAAATATTTTCAAACTTTTTATTTCATATGAGCAATTGAAAACGGTTTTCACTTTATGAAAGACAGATAAGTGTCTTTAAGTTTTTCTTTAGTAAAAAATGTGCAAAAGATTTTAAGAACAAATCTCAATAAAATACTCTTTCAATTATGTATCTCTAAATTTAATAACGTGAAACTAAAATTAGTGTACAAATTAAACTCTGTTAATACAGTTTGCTCTTATTCAATTGAAATCTACATTTGCAAGTCAATCAATATTAGCAAACCAGAGGTTAATAATTAATTATTCGAGAAATTATTTATTTTGAGAGTATCACTTTTTTTATTTAATATTTTTATTAAATCTTTATAATATTATACTAATCTCTTCACGACGATACCTTGTATCTTTCTTTTCCAAATTGTCTTGAATTCTTCTCTCAGAGAAAATCAAAAAATTACAAAGTTGAGCTCCGGAAATTTCCGTTTCGAATTATATGAAAAATAAATCATTTCCAATTACCAAAACATGTACAAAAATAAAACGTGAAGACGTACCTGTCGTCGTGAGAATAATTTTCGGCAGTTTGTTGCAGTGATTGTGATTTCTTGACGGAAGAAGATGACGGTGCTTTTGCAACTAGAAAATAATTCAATGCTATAGCCATTTTTTATTTATGTATCTTATAGGATGGTGTCAATATCTAAATTAACAATCACTTCTGACACGTGGAGCAACAGAAGTTCAGAAGGATCCTTCAATCGGTGTGGAGAACATTAAGTTGCATTATGATGCACCGAATAAGATAATTCATGTGCGAAATTTCTATTATATCTATACTATTCGAAAAAAAAAAAAAACTGTTTTACACAAATGAACCACAATTTATTGCTACAAAAATATATTACGATTAATTCGTCGCCAGACCAATAGAAATTTCGAAACACACGAATCTCAAAAATCAATATATCTATTGAATAAAAACTAATATTATCATACATTGGAAAAATATACACTCACATGGATAAAAGTTAATTGGAGCTATTACAAACTAGTCTCTAGCCGTGATAACGTGTCACACAGAAAAGAACAAACTCAACCCATTCAGAACGAATGAAAACAGAGGAGAGAGAAATGAAACAAGGTACTCAAGGGATCATCGAACAAACACAAAAATACAAAAAAAAAAAAAAAAAAAACACGCAATAACGTAGACGATGTACGTTGCAAAACAAGTATACTAACTTAACATGGAGTGGATATATTAATGAATTGTTGAAATTTCTCCCTGTATCAGTCAATATGATATTAAGACAAAGAGGAGACCATCATGCAAAATGAAAAGAACGGAAAGCTAACGTTAAACGCCAAGCAGCAACGAAACGGTGAGAATGAACGTTTCTTGTCTTCTCATTTCCTGTCACAAAAATGCGCAAAACCACATTTTCTTCATGCAGTCCTAATGATTGAAGAAGATCGCTAATTCATCATGGCATAAAATAATATGCAAATAATATGGTTAGTAAGAAGCAGTGCGCCTAGTAGTATCTGCGCTTTGTTACACAGCTAAGTCTAAAACATCTGGCCACGTTTTAAATGCAGAACGCATTTTATATTTGTTTATTTTTTTTTTCTCTCTCTCTTTTTTCAGTATTATCTTTTTTACAGAAGATAAAACTATGATATATATATATTATACTTTTTTAATAATTTGTGCGGTTGTTCCTGAGCTTATGCATTACTTTCAGTATGTTTCAGTTAAAATCCTGCTTCTTTGTATATATTGTAGAATATATTGTTACTACAACGATGATGAATTTACAGAAATAAAAAGAAAAAATTGAGGATATTGCTTCATTGTACTTGAAAATTATTAGAAGATCAGTATATATTGAAAAAAGGAATTTTGCCAAGTATATACCTGCGCGAACATTGAAATACAATTTTTTTTACGTGATTTAATCATTAATAAATGAATTGAATTTGAATGAATTCATTATATTGCTCGGAAAGTTTGTAGCGTTTTCACCAATCGATATTAAATTCTACTGTTTTCTTACGAGTTGGAGTTACATTTTTGCTAAATTGGTACAAATGTCGTTTCTAGTAATTAAAGAAAATGGTCAGTAGAAAATTTATTTTGGATTGGTCAATAGAGAAGTGATTGTTCATCAATAACATTGAATTTTATTTCATTAAGTATTTGAAGAAATTATTGCAAAAATTACTTAAAAGAAAGACAGATTTAAGAAAATTACTTAAAAAGAAATTGAAGATTTAAGAAAAAATACTTTTTTTCTTTCAGTAATTTACCTCTAAACTTCTTCCTTCTATCTATAAATATGCTACAAATTTTTCGAACGACTGTCATTTGATTTTATTATATACCTTCACTATACTTTAAATTCTCATTTTAATAATAATATTCTCTCTTTGTGCAAGGAAACTTGCTTTTCATACAGAGAGTGTTTTTTTCAAGAAAATATCATATTAAACATAGCTTCATAAGTAATTAATTGAAAAATTATAATTGCACATTTGTATGCATTTTTATATTTGTGAATATATGAAACAAATAGAATAGAATAGAAGAAAATAAGAATTTGTTTCGCTTATTAAAGATTATGATACTCTTTATATACTTTGTATGTTTCATGCATAAATATGTAATATATACATTGTGCGTATTTTTGCATTTATAAATTTCACAAAACAATGTGTAAAAATCCCCAGTATAATCACAAAAGTATAAATAATATAAAAATAGTAACCGATTAGTTTTTAATTTAATAATATATTCTTATTCATGTATATTGTTCTTATTTATAAAATATTCTTCAAGAAAAAGATCTGGGATGCTCCAATAATTCCACATTTCATTTTAAAATTCGCGCATGTATTCAGGGTATATCTTCGCCTCATTCGCGGAAACAGAAATGCGTTGCATTTAAAATGTAGTGAATCTAAAGACAAAAAAAAAAAGATAAGAAAACTGAAACAGTCAAACTAAAATACAAACTAAATA